AAGCAGATAATACTTAATAATCACGAGAAAGTTTCAAGCATTTGTCGTGATTACAATAGTCCTGATTTGATTCGTGAAGTCCGCTTTAATGATATTAGGTAAATGTGTATTCGTGTGTCAAGTACTCATGTGTAATAACTTAAACGTTCAAGTCATACAAACATCGTTAAATTGCAATTCCTGACCAAAAGTTACGGCTTAACCTTAACATACCTCTTTTGTAACAGATGTGATTTTCTGAACACAAATGCTGCAAAACCCTCTTATGCAGTTATGCATCGGACATGATCATCATCATATTTTAGAAGTCTATAGTCATATTATATAAAAAAAGACGCATTATAAGTTATAAGTATATGACTATGTAGGATAAAACAAATACGATAGGTATTATGGAAATCATTAAGGTGATCATTTTGGAAACTATCGATTTAAAAATTAATCGGCTTAAAATATGCGTGTGAAGTCCCCCCTCCCCTCCACCATTTTTCCAATTCACTCCAAAATCTTCGCCCGTATTTTGAAAAATCTTGTTTTCTCTACAAGAAGCTTTTTTTTAAGATTATAAAATTATAAAGATTTCATATTTTATTTTTATACAACTCACACGTGAGAACAGAATATAAACACCAATATAGGATTGTTTCGAATATTAGTTTAATTCGTATTGTAATTTTGTGTACAGTCTCTATTCATCAAGAAACTAATGTTTTCGCAAAGTGCATGACTTTTGCTCATATCCCAAAGGAATACTGTCGCAAATGTACATTGTAATAGGTACTTTGTTATTCATATATCGAAAGTCTAATTCAATATTTCCAAAATTTCCATTCTGTTTTGCCATTTTTAAATATTTAGTAAAAATTAATACAACAATAAATTTGAACAAGAAAAAAAAAATTTTCAATTATCATCAATATGCGTTGTTATTAAACCTAATAAAATTCATTTGAGTAGGAAAAATAATTTATAGTCTTAAAACCTTAGTCTTCTTAAATAAAATAAAACAACAATATAAATTAAAATATGAATATAAAGTTAAAATAAAATAACTGTTTGTCATTTTCTGCTTTAGTGGACTTAGTAAAAATTATCTATTTATTTGATTTAAACATTTCACAAATAAACAAATTTAAATTATAACAGTATAGGTAGGTCTTAAGCAAATTCTACTTAGAATTGATAATTTAATAAACTACATAATATTTTATTTATTATACAGGGTGTATCTTATGTCATTGTACGCGGGGTTTTTTGACGATTATGGAACGATAATATGGAATTTCGTTAAAACGAAAAAAGACGTGTTTCTTTATTTTTAACAAGCAATTTTTTTATAACAATTTCAAAATTTTTAAACACGCAGGTGTACCAATACCAAAATCAACTTTTTTTTTTCAAATGGTAACCACTATATTTTTTAATGGATTCTGGTAAAGCTTTTTTTTCTGAACATTTTGGTAGTCGAATCGTCAATTTTGGTTAGCTAGTTTATTAACTATGGTCCTCCAAAGATTAGTAAAATATGCATTAATACTTTTAATTAAAATAATGGGTATAGGTTTAATTTACAAGCGCTAAACAATTTTTTCTTATAACTACCATTTGATACACTATAATAGTTGAATCGGTAATCTAATGACACCCTCAAAAAAAAAAATACTAGTAAACATACTTCATTATTTTTATTTTAACATACGATCATAAAAATCAATATTATTATTTTAATATCCAAAACTAAAAAGGATGGAAAGGGATGAATTACAACTCCTAAGTTCATACTTTGGATGCGATACCATTATAGGGAATCTATGGTTAAAATATCAAGTTTATACTTTATACCACTACGAAAAGAGCACCACAAAACATTGCACTTTTTTCGTTGCACATATTAATGTCAACAATCGAATACCATTTACCAATTTACCATTATTACCTTAGCCACCTACCTAATTAAGAATTCAAATTTATGATATTGTAAGAAAAGTAACTGTGATGAAAAAAATGTAAAGTAATTAATTACGATTATAATAATAAATTAAAAAAATAATATTGATTTTTATGATCGTATGTTAAAATTAAAATAATGAAGTATGTTTACAAACAATTATGTTTGTTATTTATTTTTTTTTTTTGAGGGTGTCATTTATGAGGGTATCGCATCCAAAGTATGAACTTAGGAGTTGTAATTCATCCCTTTCCATCCTTTTTAGTTTTGGATATTAAAATAATAATATTGATTTTTATGATCGTATGTTAAAATAAAAATAATGAAGTATGTTTACTAGTATTTTTTTTTTTTTGAGGGTGTCATTAGATTACCGATTCAACTATTATAGTGTATCAAATGGTAGTTATAAGAAAAAATTGTTTAGCGCTTGTAAATTAAACCTATACCCATTATTTTAATTAAAAGTATTAATGCATATTTTACTAATCTTTGGAGGACCATAGTTAATAAACTAGCTAACCAAAATTGACGATTCGACTACCAAAATGTTCAGAAAAAAAAGCTTTACCAGAATCCATTAAAAAATATAGTGGTTACCATTTGAAAAAAAAAGTTGATTTTGGTATTGGTACACCTGCGTGTTTAAAAATTTTGAAATTGTTATAAAAAAATTGCTTGTTAAAAATAAAGAAACACGTCTTTTTTCGTTTTAACGAAATTCCATATTATCGTTCCGTAATCGTCAAAAAACCCCGCGTACAATGACATAAGATACACCCTGTATAAGCTATTAGGTAATGAAACTGTTTTACTGAATCATAACTGAACTCTTATTTAATCTGAAATACAATAAAACTTACAAACTTTATAGAATGTAATATGTATTAATAGAATTTTACAATTGTGTGGCTGACGGCTGTGCCCTCGTCTCGGTACAAGCCATTGAAACTAGGTCTGCTATAAGTACCTATGTAATATATGTATAAAATATTTGAAAAATCTTATGGTGCAAAAATATTTTAATTTTTACGAAGTGTTTTTACTTGTATAAGCCCTAAGGTTACGAATCTTTTGGATTTTTTTGTCTCTTGAGAAAAATTTCCCTTTCCTAACTTTTGTAATAAATTCATACACAAATAAAGTGAGGTACTTCGGTCATAAATTGCTATTTGCTGTAGGGCACGCATTCATATAATATAAATTGTAGATAAATATTATTTAGTTACATCGTTATTATACTTGATTCTATTCATCTAACCGTTTAGTTAAAAATGTCAATGCATACGTCAATGTTACGAAATTTTGGGTAGACACTATACAAATCGAACTCGTGAGTCGTGATATTATAAAGTCAATGACAATATTATGATATAAATTATATATACAGTTGTATAAAATATAAAATTTAATTTCATATATTATTGTACGTAATTTAATAAAAAACGACATTTTTTTAAATTAATATATCAATGGTTACAAGATAAGTAATATACAAATATAATATTATATATATTATTTTATATTATATAATATAGGTATATACTGTTGAGCATCCTAGTTGAGAGTATTCGAATTTAAAAGAGGTGGTCAAACAGGGATATTGAGATTCACGGTGGAATTTGAAACTTTTTTTTGTAATTAAATGGTTGATTGCAAATTATAATAGTAATAGTAGAATAAAGGACTTTTTCTTTATATCTACAAAAATGGTTGCCATTGGTTACTCGGGCAGATCAGGTACAGGCATGCATCAAATAGTCATATTTACATGGTCTCGATTAAAGAAACTATATCTTAAAACCAAATTGTATGTGTTTATAGTTTATATAGTCAAAAACTACTCTAATGAGTTTGAAAAAAATCTCAGAGATATTTTTTAAAGATATCGAAAAAGTCTAGAGAGTAAGTAGTTAAGCCACGTTAAAAAATGTAGCAAGTGCTAAATCCAAACTGTCGTTATTCACTTATCTTTATGTGGTTAAAGAGCCTATATATATTGTATTGAACAAATGGCAGGAAAAAATAAAAATAAAAATAAAAATAGGAAATTCTTTTTTCACTTTCTACATTTTTCAATAACTAAATATATTAAGTTCCATATATATAGTTACTAATTTCATATAAATATAGTCATCATATACATTATAAAGTATTTAACATTTTTTTTTAATCAATATATTGATGCATAGTACGCCAGCACTCATCAGGTGTGAGGAGAAATTATTTCTTACTATTATCTGAATTAGTTGTAATAATATAGATGATAAGACTTTCGCCCTTTTTCGTTATGATAACCAACAACCCTAGATTTCCAACATCTCAATATTTGATATTTATAATGCTTTTTTTATTTCTATAGCTACTGATAATAATAATATCATTATTTTTTTATTTTTTTTTTATTATTATTTGTACATTTTTTTCGGGCTATGACAATTATTATATGTCACTAAATAATATTTTAAAAAACTTTTTTATAATAAAGAGACTACTAACTCATAAGTCATATTCATAATAATATTATGCTCATCGCTTATTTATTTATTAATAACACAATTTATTTGAATAAAACAAATATGGAATGATAGTAATAGTAATAATAAAATTAACATAAAACTAATCAAATATTTATTCTTACACAGTTTTACTACATAGATAACGTCATCACGGTCCATGGATGTTATATAATATATATTATTGAAAACAATCTAAAGAAATTGTATTCCAAATAAATGTCATAATCTGAAAATAATATTATAACTACCTATACCTAAAGAAGATCACCAACAAAAGAACTAAAACACAATTCACATAATGTGAAAAAATGTAATGAGGAATAATGGAGTTGATTTTTACCTATTTTAAAAATTTGGGTAATAGTTAAATCCACAAATAACCAGTAAAATATCAACATATTATGTGTTATTAAGATCATTCACATTTTTAGTATTCTAAAAAACAAAATTAAATTTACTAAAATGTAGTGGAAATTAAGAATGTTGACCAAAATTAAATGACTGCTGCAGATACAGATGCATTGAAGAGGAGACTACACCCGTTTTCTACCAAAATTACCTAATTCCCAGGTTTGTGCATGGAATAGCTGTTTTTTCCAAAAACAAAAAAGATTAAATTCCTCTTTTAACTATACTTTCATTAGTAGACGAAATTCAATTTTGAACCCTTTATATAATTTTTATAAATAATTTAAAAACTTAAAAAATAAACATACAATTTGTATTCAAATACATTTAATTTAAAATTTAAATACTGACCATCCTTGATTATAGGTACTATAACAGACTTTTATAATAAAGTATAGGTTACGATATACGTATTTAAATTTTTAATTATTAAAAAAAGTTTGTATATTATAGCAAAAATGAACTTAAATACATTTTAGCAAAGCAAATACAATTAACTTAAATACGTAATAATAATAATATATTAATTACATTTTGTCAGTTTTTACACATATATAACACTAAATATTTATCAACTAGCTTTTTAATTATTTATTTATTTTTTTTTTTTTGTTACATAGCTATAGATTTTGAAATGAATAATAACTAAAAATAGCTAGGAAGCTAATCCAATAAGGTTAAAAACCACTGGAATAGAGTATAGTTGTACATTATCAAATTCGTTTATCGTTATAATATTTTAAATATATAACACAATATCTAGTCAATAAACTACATTTACTACATTTTTTTATCAAAATTGTGTCCAAATATTCTATATATGTTTAAGCCTTATATATCAAAGGGGATACGCTATTGAAATATTAAAAGTTTGTAAATAATGTAATTAATTTAAATTAAGTTTTACTGTATGTATAAAATATACATTATGCCAATGTGAAACAAATAATTCTCTAAGACCTTAAATGGATCTCATTGTAACGAATATCATCTTAAAAGCTCATGCAGTCATGCCTCTATATGTCAGTGTGTACACAAATAGATAGGAACCGTTGTTTCAAATAGTAATGAATAAACAGACTATTGTGTCAATTTTAACACAAAATGCATCTAAAATACGCATACAAATAATTGAAATACGAAGTATGAAAAGCTTTAGCTTAATTAAATTCGGTGATTTTTTTTATAATTTATTCAAAGCTTTATCGTTAAAATGCTATTGTCTAAAAAGCTCTTCATTAAAAAAATACCATTTTACCAATAAAAGAACGACGTATATTTATATTTTATATTTATATAGTTAGATTTTTTCCAACGAATAAAATATCTTCAACCTAACCACTGATGCAAAACCAAACTAATTATGTGAAAATGATAATAAAAAACACTGACCTGAAAGTACAAAACCATTTTGCAAGCTACAGTGCCCATGAACCATGTTTCTGTGACATCCCACACCACAGTTGGTGGCAAGCAGATTAAAATCACTAAAAAGTCAGCCACCGCCAAGTTAACGATGAAATAGTTCGTTACAGTTCGCATTGTTCGATTCCTAAAAATGTAGCGTAAATAATATCAATAGAAATTTAAAGAACCAATTATGTTTATAATCAATTATAGATAAAAAAAATTTTAAAAAACTAGACATAATTTATTGTCCACACATACAGCGTACAATTATAAATTATGTGTTTGAAATATGTTATAAATATACAATTGTGTTTTAACGTATTCATCAACGCTATTTTAACAACAATAAAATCTAGATAATTTATGTTGTGTCGAGAGCCAAATATTGATACTAATAATTAAGTTTCATACAAGTAAATTATAAAAAAGAAAAATAGATAAATGCATAGAAAGTTGCATTGAAATGAAAATACATGTTTTACACTTTATCGGGTAAAAATGTGTGTAATAATAATTTTAACTAAACAATATAATAGCAATTAATTTTTGATTTTAAATATAAGCAGAATAGTTTATTAAATACCTATCTATTGATTTTACTTTCAAACAAAAATTGTTTTTGATTTTCCATTAAAATATTGCTAAAACATTGAAATGTTTATTTTAGACGATTTTTGTTAAATAGGTACTACTAATAAAAGTCATACTTATTACGATAACTAAAATTTTAATTGTGATTTTGTGTTATTGTCTATTTAATATTTATACTGTTGTTTTATTTTATATAGAAATTTAAACACACTTAAAATATTTCAATAATTTCCTTTTGCAATGCAAATGACAAATTATACAATTATTGTATGTCAATAAAATCATCAAGTAAGCTTCATTTAAGATTCTAATGACCATATCAATTCAGAAGGACATCTAACTATCTAAGTGATCGTTTTACATACCAAAAAAATACGACTCTCACTAGAAGTTTTGCTGAGATCAGGCACGAGTGCAAAATTACGTATTTATAATAAGTAATAACCATTTTATCATTAATCTTAAATTATTATTTCAAATTTTTGTTTTTATTATTATTATTAATTTTTTGAAATTTTTTCTGCGATTTTATGTTACCCGAATTTAATTATAAGGACATATATTTATAACTTCGATATAATAAAATAAATTATACATATACTATAAAAATGTACAAATTTCAGTTTACAATATGTTTGTGTACAAATTAATATGGATTAAAGTATTAACAATATAAAATTATAATAATTAATGTTGCTTAGGGCAATACAATTGAATTACTAGGTATAATATAATACTATCCTCTGACTTCTGTTAGCCTTGTTGTAATTTGCAGATTATATGTGAATTCCAAGTTAACCAAGTTAACTTACTTACTATCCAAAATTACATCGTAATATTTAATGTTGGGTGACAAAGGAAATTAGTGCAAAATAAATTGTGTACCTATATACCTATTATAAATATTTATAATAAATTACAAATACCTACACATAGTACCTATAGAATAAAAATTAATGTTAAGTGGCTGTGTCGAAAAAAAAATAGTAAGTACCTATTAACTTGTAAGTAGGAAATAAAGATTTTGATCGAGTACTTACCTAAATAAACAGTAAGCTTTTAATAGAAAGGTTTACTACGTTTTTTTTTTTAGATCTTGGTTTGAAAAAAATAAATATGTACCTATGACATATTATGTTATTAATTATTATTATAATTTGTGTTTACTGCTCTGTCTAAAATGTAATTTATGACAAAATGATAACTACCAACCTAATATTGAAATACTAATACAACACCAGTTAAAAATCCATTACTGACTACTATTAATAATCAAAATACAAAAAAAAATCATTGGGTATCTTTTTTTATTTAAATTTGATATAATATAACCAAGAAGAAAATAAAGGCATAATTTGATTGTTCATGAACTTTACAGTCCATACCCTCACAGTCGAAATAAATTTTTTTTTTCAATACTCTAGCAATGTCAATTCAATTGAGTATAATAATATAATAACATTTATCTCTTTTCTATGATTGTAATTCTTATCCGCTCAGAAATATTATGAAGTGTCTTACCTGTAGACGGCCACGCAGACTAAAGCGTTTCCGATAAGTCCGACCACGAAAACCATAGAGTGCATGACTATAAATACCCATTCGGATTTTCGGGGTGTTATGTAGTCGACCAGATAATTGTGATATTCCTCATCGGTATAGTTGGCCATTTCGTCGTACTCGGTATCGTTATCCTTCACAAACGATGGAACAGTTGATTCCCGTCGAATTGTCAAGTTGACGTGTCCTTCGACCACGCCTGTCGTTGAAAACGCGATCATCGTAATCAACGTCCATCTCACCCACATTGTGTCTGATCCAGGCTATATAATAAACAGATGAATTAATTGGTTAATTGTTTTTCTAGTAGGTCATCTCATATACTCCTAAACTCTAAAACTTAAAGTAATTTGGTTAAAGAAATACCAAATGTAACACAAATACACTATAAGCAAAGCTTAATATTATGGTGAATGGCGTACTTTTGTGAATGACGTGAACAATGGAAACATTGTATACATTTTATCTAAATGCATAAAAAACCCTCTGTGAGACAAAAAAAGTATTTAAAATTTTTATTTTAACGGATTAATTGATCACTCAGTTATATAATTATGAATTTGAATACTCATGAGAACAAACAGTACCTATTTGGCTATTTTACAATTCAGAAAATCATTATTATTCATAATTAGGATACCTTTATATATTTATGTATTATCCCACATATAATGATTGTAAAATTACAAAATTTGAGAGATAAATATAATATAGCAGAATATAATGTGCTTTTAATTTAACTGTCAATTTCATCTCCTCATTAAAAAGAGATTATTATTATAGCTTAAAAATTAATAGGTACATTACATAATATATGTACCTACTTAAAAATACTAAATTTACTTATTATATAAATTATTTTGTTTAAAAATATTTTTATCATTTATGCTGAGGGGCCACAAAAATAAAATTAACGAATTAATGCGATAACTAACGACTAACGACAAAGAATTAAATACTATTGTTGGTCAAAATAAATTGAATGGTAACATTTTAAAGAAAAGTTTATCACTTATTTTTTACAACTTTTCATTAAACGTTCAAGTAGAAACCCCAAACGAATTCGACAAACTAGTCAATGATTAGCTCAGGGAAACATTTTTTGCAACACTCAGCATTTATAAAGTGCCTTTATTCCAAAAGCTTTATAAAATGAAGTTACTTTTTAACAATTTTTCGCAAACATCGGTTTTATAAAATAAATATTTTTTAATTTTTTTTTTTATATTTAATATGAATAGTTTTATATATTTAATATGAATTAAATAGTTTTTTTATTTCCCAGTGGCTAAATCAACTAAACCTTATTATTCATTGTAAATTAAATTATTTTTCAGTTAGGGGTTAATCTAACTGTACGGATATACAATATACATACTATATTATATTAACTATATATATATATACCTAATACGGAGAAAAGAGTACAAATAAGTTCGCCCCCAACCCCCTTTAACAAAACTGCGTACGCCTTTGTGTCATATAGACTTATTATAGTACCTACATTTTGGACGCAGAAAATAAAATAGGTATCACAATTGATAACTATGGTAGATAGTTTATGGGTAAGGAATATATAATATCGTTCAACCCTATTAAACATTACACAGTGCAATCGTAACATTTCTATTATAACAATATGTGTGATAGTAGTTTTGAAATTCAGGAGAATAGAATTTCACTCTAAAGAAAGACCTGCACTCCGACTAAGCTAAAATGTGCAGGTGATTAATATTAATTATTTTAATGTTAAATTTAATGATCAGTCAAAGTAATAGGTATAAAAAAAAATCATATGCCTAACAATTAACAGTAAAAAATGTTGGTCTCATTTGAAAAAAAGAAGTGTGTATCGCCACAGGACACTTCTTAAATGGTATAGAAACAATAAAATTAGGCAAAAAAAACAACCTATATAATTTAAAATAATATGGTCTGTGAGCATATTTAAAATTATAATTTGAATACATTTATTATTAAAGGAAAAAATGAGGGTGAGCATGCTGGTAAATCCCTCTGTATATTCTCGTATTTAATTAACTGGCTCAATTTGAATTAAAATGTATTCCAGACATAATAAGCATATAAAATCTCGTATCCAAGGAAATGGTGAGCTAGTATTAAACTGTAATTTATTTGTCTTTAATCTCGAGTTATTTTCTGTGTAACGAATCAATTATAATTCAATATAACTTTCGTACTATGATGTTTTCAATTACAAAAAATCCCATGAATTCAAACTAGGGACGTGCGGGTTGTCATTACGCTGCATGTCCATTGACTAGGCAGTACTTTTTGATGCCAAATATACTGACACCTGAAACTGCCGAAACGAAAATTCAAGCGCCGTCCGCCACGACAGTCCCAACTAAGTCGAAATCCCTACCCGAACTCAATGTAGCGGTACTGGTCACTTGTGTGGATCTGCAGGATACGGATGCTGCAATACAGGACCAAATGGTAACCGCGAACACGGTCAAACTATAGGAGCCGATCTTTTCTCATGTCTTCAATAATTACATTGAATTACATGGATTTGGACGTGGCCAAGAGCCGTGCGAGCTATTACGCTTCAAATCGACTGATCAAAGTCTATTTTTCCATGCCAAACATTATGTTGATGACACCCGAAAGGCAATCCGAGTGCCGTCCGCCACGATTAGTCCCGATGGAGTTGGAAACCCTGACCGAACTCAATGTAGCGATTCCGGTCACCTATGTGAAACTGCAGGATACAGATACTGCAATAACGGACCCGGTGGTAACCATGAACACGGTCAAACCTATAAGAGCCGATCATTTTGGAAATGTACTAAAAAATTCTTCAGGCGATTATTGGACTGCACATATTGTTCCGAGCTATAATATTGCTGTTGTGCCATAGTAGATGCTGCTATATAGAATATACCGTATAGGTACAATCTACAACAATATTTTTTTTAATTATCTCAATGCTCTGTCGAAGATGTATGATATGTATAAATTGTATAAAATGTATGAAATAAATGTACAAAAATAAGTAAAATGAAATGTTCAAATATTAATTTGTTTCACTTCCACATTATTAAATTATTTATGTTAGAGATATATTATTATGACGTATAAGTTACACTTTTGATAAATATTCCTGTATATGTAAAAATATTTGAAGTAATTATAGGTACCTACTGTAAATTGTATTAATTTAGCACAAATATATATTGTCGTTAAATAATTCAATTGGTTTCTTTTTTATGTATAATTACTAAACGTGAAAATGCTATGTAAAATCAATTTGTAGCTTGTGAAAATTTTGTCCGAGGAACAAAAATTGTTATTTTATTGTCCATTTTATACATTTTCATTTAAAAATAATTTTCAAATTTTCATGATTTAGATGAATTTCAAAAACGTATGAGGAACTTTGTATTACAATGTTGTGCTTATTTACCACGTGAAAAGTTTTCATCGCAATTTATAGAAAACTAGAAAATTTAAAATTGAAAGTATCTATAAATATCTCAAAAAGAGTCAAATATATTGAAAATGTTATCATGTATAGAAAATGGTCATATAAAAATTTAGTGGAAAATCATTACTTTATTCGTTTTTGAGTTACACCAAAAAACAAAACTATTTTGTCAAAAACTGGTTTTATGTAAAAACTCCCGGGCTAAAAATCAAAGGATTTGTACTTCCCTAAACTGCAGGGTGCAGATTATCATCTAACACAAGTCTGAAACTCATTTTATGGATTAGAAACAAATCGCATGTATCCATATCGTTAATTAATATTGAGTAGGTAGGTACTTAACTACTTAACTCTTAAGACTTGATAAGAAAAGTGTGCTTACCTATAACATATTTGAAAAAAATAATGTGAAAATAATCCTGTTATCATAGTTAATGAAATAATATTATTGGGTTATTTTATTTACCTATTTACATAGGCGTGCTCACAGGGGGTGCCGGGGGTGCCTGGGCACCTCCGGACACTTCACCAAAAACGACAAGGGCCCAAATTATTAATTAAGTGTAAATTAAATTAATGAAATTTTTGACGAATTCAAAAATGTTGTTTCTTTTAAACGTCGGTTATCATTATAAGATTGTATACCTATATAATATGGTTATGTAATAATTATTAGAATGAATAATAAAATAATTTTAGTGCATTTGATTTATTTAAAACATTTATCTGTATCTATAATTGTTTCAAAATTATTGTGGGCCCTAATTTTTAGTGTGCACCCCTGGAACCAAAAATCTACCCACGCCTATGCATATTTATTAATATTACTGTTTATAAATAGGTACAACTACCTATATATGTAAAAAATCGTGTATGGTATTAAATATGACTTTAAAAAAAATTACTTATGATAAATAAATAACAGTTTTAACTTCAAATGGTGAACGTTTTATTTCACAAAGTGAAAAAAATTACATAATGTATTGATGTCAAATTGGAGTGGTCATTTCATATCCATTTCATGAAATATTCTCGTATTTCACAAAGTGCAGTGATAAAGACATTTCCACGTCATGAACAAATTGATTTCACAAAGTAGGTACAGCATTTATATTATGTACATTATACACTCGAGTCTGAAAGAGTTGAATTATTGTTAATAATACAGATGTAGTCATATTATATATTCAAGGAGCATTTTGTTAAAAAATGTAAACAACAAATTATTGTAAATTAAACTAGATGGGCAAAATCATAAAATATTTCATTTATTCACGGATTACGTTAAAAATAAATTGAAAACAACTGTATTTAATTATATTATACATTATTTATTAGTTATTAATTATCATTAAGTTTGAAAAATATGTATGTTAGGGTATGTAATGTTTGATTTTAGGTAATGTTGACATCAGACATCTAAGCTCGACAATAGTCAAAGTCGAGGATTATGAGCCTTCGTGATAATGTTGTTCCCAAATATGGATTCACCATTACCCTTGTAATTTTGACATTAACAGAAGGCCCTTTTATTTAATAAGTTATAAATAAAACCATAATATAATAGTTAGGTATCATATTTTAATTTCTATATTATTCCAAATCGAGGAAATACACTGCCGATGTCACCTAGTTGTGCAGGAGAGCATTGATTAATTTAAATCAATTCAATTTTGGTCACTTGATTAAATAAATGTTCTTTTGACTGACTTTTGAGGGTTAAGTGAACAATCGAATTAAACTGATACACGGCTATTATAGCTTATAAATTATAAGGATTAGTTGTGAGTGTCGTATTGTCGTATACCATAGAATGTTTAAAGAAAATATCATATTTAGTACATTTACACTTTTATAACATTACCCGAACCCTTGGAGCAATCTTAAATTACTCGGGAAATGTCTATAATATTTTCCTGTCGTTGTCGTTGGTAATTTACTCAACAAACTATATAGGTAATATAATATCCTAAATCTTAAATGACCATTAATAGGTTATAGGTAAGTTATGTAGGTGTATCATGTAATATGTCATATGTGAATTTTGACCGGTGTATCGTGTAGACAATATCTGTGAATCAATCTCACTGACCACTGCAATTTTATTGAGGGTATCTTAAAATAAAAAACAAATTTTCTAGTCAAAAAAAGATTACCTAGTTATTTTCACGATCACACTATGATTTTCATTTTTCAAGTATATTGTATATATATATCTCAAGTATATACTTAATAGTGTATTAATAGGTATACTATTTATTTCAACTCCATCTTGATCTAATACCAAATAAAAAAAACATTATATCTAAATCTACTATTTAGTATTTTTAACATATCAAATATTTTTAAAACAATTAATAACATAGAAATACCTACGATCATAAGTGATACATTTTATACTTGGTCATTAAAAATATATTTCAAAAAAACGGTTCCCGTTACGAATGTAAAAAAAATATATAACAATATACCTGTCACCTGATTAGATTTTAAAATGATCAATGTTAAATTATTTTCGGTAAATACCGATTTTTTATTGATCAATCATATGAAAAATGAATCGCCCCGCCACTCAGGTTTGTTATATCGCGGCCATCCAAATAATAATAAATTATAATTATTACAAATATATCACGTTAATAATCCAATAATTCGACGGTTCTCGCAAAAAAAAAATGTACCATCATTATAAGAACCTTCCATAGGTATTTATTTTTTGAGGAAAAATGTTATGAAAAATTAAGTCTCAATCTTAATTTTAATTTTGTATGTATAATTATTATTGTTATTATATTACCTAATTTATATTAATATATCATTGTATTAAAGGTAACTTTTTTTAAAATACATTATTATTATACAAATTAAAAAATGAATTATTATCACTTATACTCTACATGTTTGTTATTATTATTACACATATTCAAAAATGCATTGTTGTCACTTGTACCTACTTTTTGTTATAATCATTATGGATGGCAAAGCAGCGAGATAACAAACCTGAGTCGTGGGCCTATAAAACTGTCACTCACCCGGGCAAGGATAATAACAAACCAGTAATATCACACATACATTTGGATTTAAGATGTAGTTTCTGTATTCCAGACCATATGTGCGACAATTTGATTCATATACTTGTACCTGAAAGCCCTAGTAACCAATGGCGACCATTTATATACAAAAAAGGTTTCAATTTCCACCGTTAATCTAAAAATCATTATTTGAGGACCTCTTTATAATGCGAATTTTGGAAAATCATTTTTTAGTGGGTCTCAACATCATAAAACGAAACTACTGACCAAATGTCATACTCATATATAGATTCGATGATTCCGATGATAAATCAGTCAGTCAGTCAGTTAATCATGACAAAGTCTTTTACCTATAGATTTGTGTTTTAGCCACTAAAGTACCTAAATAAGACCAAAAATAATGGTAAGTATACAAACATTTTCATAGTATTTAAATTTAAAAAAAAAAATACTAATTTTTACTTCAACATAGACTACAACTATTATAATCTGCAACCATTGGCAAACATTTATAAACAAAAAAACGAGTTTAAATTTCCACCGTGAATTTCAAGATAAAACCTAACCCTGTTTAAATACTTCTATAAAATTCAAATATCAGAAAATCCTTTATTACGGAATATCTAAAGTATTAGAATTTAGAGGAACCACTATTCTAAATTTCTAGATTAGTAGTTATTGAGGTGTAGCGATGAGTGAGTGGTATTTGGATTTTACACATATAGGTATAGATTTATCTCTGTTTATTATCACCTAAATAAGGATCGCGTAGATATTTCCACCAATAATGTTTAAACATGTATGATTTATAATGATTTGATTTGAAGTTTCAAGCTATCCAAATGTTTCTACTTTGTATACTATTTATTATACACTATCGTAGTATCGCCAATAACTTACCCATAAACACGGCGATGGCTGTAGGAACTAGGAATTTTTAGTAGACTGAAATTATTAAAAATCTGCCAACGGTCTACAATAACTATAGACAGATTGTCCAACTTGGTAATAATATGTATTGAAAAATGTTCAGCTAAAAAAATTAATTTTGACAAAGTTATTGAAACCTTTTCCCAAATGAAAAAAGAATAACAGTATTGTAAATAAGTGTACATACTTACATTTTAGATTCTGAGTGGAACGATGAATGTATTGATTTTACAATGATGTGTGTTTTTTTATTTTTATTTTTTGTATCTGTGTACACGATAAGTAGTCGAAATAATGCTTCGATTTTCGACTTCAGTATCTTGTTCGATTGGAAAGTGAATATCGTTGGTGCATTGGGGAGGTCAAAATTTAAAATTCCCAGTACTTTTCAAAAGCGCCAAGAAAAACAAAAGAAAAATTAAGGAAAAACGGGAATTTTTACGCAAAATCAATTTTTCAGAAAATTGAATT